ATCCATTTTTCTTTGTTTTCTTTTGAATTGAATTTGGATAAATTTATAAATGTAATGTCATTTTGAAACAAAGTTGAAAGATTCATTATAAAAAATGTCAAAATAGAGTGTCTTGGCTTTTAAAAAAAAATTGGTATATTCAAACACATATTGCATTCACCAGCCTGAATTTACATTTTTACCTGAAAATAAAGGGTTGGTAAAAACAATTCAGCCAGTTCTCATCTTGAAAACTCTCTGCTGTTGGGATAGCAACAACTAAAAATCCAGAGAGAGGGAACACTGCTTGAAAGATCCTAGCTCTTCATTTGTTTACCTGGTCCAGCTTAAGTTTTTCCAAAATGTGGTACGTTCACAACTAAAACTGGAGCAAACCAAACTTTTCAGTGTTTGATGTGAGGAAAACCAGAAAACCTCACAGTTCTCTAGTAAGTTTTGTCCCTGTAGGCTACTGTGTATATATACTTCAACTTTGGCTCCTTTTTTTTTTTTTTTTTTTTTTTTTTGTCTGGAGATTTGTTTTCAGTCAGCTGCCAGTGAAAACTACATTTGACCCTTACCAAGGAAGAGGGCTTATTTTGTATGTCAGTTATTAAGACTGGCTGAGAAGTTCATTTGAAACTGCAAATCTGCCCAAACGTGTCAGATTTAAGTAATCCAAACAATGAGTTCAGGTTCAGAAGGCTTTCCTGTTTCTGGGGAGACGGGATTTGATCAAAATAGGAAAGAGAGACATGCTGTGCCTCTACTCCCACTTTAGTTTTCCTTTCCAGACCAGGCTAGTGGTTACAGTAATAGCAGCAGTGTGCATTTCCTTTTCAGGCTTAGCTGATTGATGTGTTGACGTGCCTTGATTTATTTGGTGCAGCAACCAAGTGGACTAGCTGTATTGCTCTGCATGCCAATCCCTTACATTGTGTATGCATCACTCTCCTATATTGCCTTGTATATCTGACAAATTGACTCTAATCGTTTAGCGATTCATATTTCATCTGGACTAGGGCATTGTGAGAGGATCTAAATTCTCTCTCTTTAAATGGAGACGATGGACTTGACACTGCCAGTTAAGAAAATTAGCATGCATCAGTATTGCGAGAAGAAAGAGTGCAAGGTCTTGATAGAAAGCAGGTGTTGTTTTTTCAAATATATATATCCATGTATGTATTTATATGTATATATAAAGGATATAAAAATGGGAGGTGAAAGTCTGTGTTTTCCAAAGCCACTGTTATAGTGGCTAATGACTTTGGAAAGTATATGGTATGTCAGACATGGGAGAAACACTGTTGCTGAGGTATAGCCCACTGTAGAAGGGGTTGTGGGGATCAAATGAAGGCAAGAAGGAAAGAGGGTTTCATACTAAGAGAGTGATGCTTACTGAGAGATAGCTGGAGCATCTGGAGATGAAGGGCAGGGCCTGGCAAAGCAGAGGGTCAGGAACAGAGCTGAATTGCTTTCTGTGCTGTACCTGACCCAGATTGGGATTGTCTAGATTAGCTTTTGCAAAGCTGAACTAGATCTGTCATGCAAGCTGTTATTTTGTCGGTGTTTCTACTTTCTCTATTCTTAGTAAATGCCGTTTTCTACAACCCATGAGGTTTCACTGTGTGGTTTGCATATCAGTTGCTTTAGAAGATTGTTCCCTGGCATCAGCAGGTAAAGGGACTTGGGGCTCCAGGGAGTCCAGGGCTTTGGCTGCAGAAAGCGCGGGGTGACCAGGCATAACCCTCTGCTTGTGTATGGGCGTGCAGAGTCCATCTGAACACCACCAGTGGAATTGTCTGTCTAGGCTGCCTCCTCTTGGTTGCCCTTTGGAAGAGTTGCTCTTCAGTGCAGGCTAAGGAAGTAATTGTTATCACTAGATTTTGGTATAGGTTATTTAAAGACAGGAGACCTAGAATAGTGAAAGATTTTTTCAGGACAAGAAATACGAAGTAATAAATAAAAAAGCCTTTTAGATGGCTTGCAGGTGGATTTGGAGAGCAGAGAACTGACTACACTTGGCTTTAGCCTAAAACCTAGGGGAAAGACCTCATGTTTTTCTAAGCATTTTTTCTTGGGTGGCTCCTGGCTATTTTGCACTACTGTGTGAATTCCCTTTTGCTAAAGGATCTCTCTGATTTATCTTCAAAGGGTATTTCTCTTGGTTCATTATTTTGACCTAAATTGTGTCTTTCATAGATGACTGGGGTTTTTTAAATTTTATTTCTTCTCTAAAACCGTTTGCTCAAAACTACATTTTTCCTCTGCAGCTGTTTTTTCGTCAAATGTTCTCTCTCCTGAGAGGCTGTTGGCTATTTATCAATATTTGATCTGTCTGTAAAGCGTACTTCTGCGGGGTGGCCGTTTATTATGAAATGGTGTCTCTCTAAAGTGGATCTTATCAGTTCTTGATCTCTTTCTCTGTTTGTCTGCCTGTCTGCGTCTTTCTTAGCTAGCCTAGTGCCTTTAAGAAGTACTCAATCTGTCTATTTTAACAGAACTAAATTCAATTATTATAATGGCAAATACTAAACAGCAAAAGAAGATACATCAAAATCCAGTACAACTTCCAGCAGATGCTTAGCAAAGAGCTTGAAACTCTGCCAGGTGTTTATAGGTATAAGAGAAAAATCCCCTGCATTTCCTTCAAATGTAAACATTGCAAAATTGGTTTTTGCGGAGTTTTCAGCAAAATGAAAATAGTAAAATAAATAGCAGAAAATGCCATGTATACTGACTTCCTCTTAGGCTTTTTTTTTTTTTTTTGTCATATCAGTCAGGCTAAACATTATTGAATTCAATGTATTCTTAATCCAACTCCTTTGATTTCAGTGATACTGAACTAGTGATGAAGCTGAACCATGAACATTGCAACATACCCTTAATTCTACTCTTTCTTCAGCCTATGGGAGCTAAATGACTGATGCTGTTACAGACAAAATCATTCATTAGGAGATGATAAAAGTGGCAAAAATAAGAGGAAAAAAAGTATTAGTGAGGGTTTCTCTTTGTTTTTGAATGGGGCTAGACGTTAGGTAGAAAGGAAATAATCTTTAATGCAGGCTGCACGTCCCACTAATGATAAGAGTTTCTCCCAAGAGTAAGCTGCAGCCTCTGAGCTGGTTTATGGATACTTCAATAGAAATAGTTGCATTACTCTGTCCTCTGCCTGTAGGCAGCCACTGAGAGCTTTTTCTGAGGTACTCTTCCTGCCATAGATAATTTTTCAATATATACGTAGAGGAAAACCTATGCAGTTTTAAAAATAATTTCTTTAATGCATTTTACCTATTGTACTTTCAGTGGCACAAAATATTTCTGGCAGCCTCTTAAGATATCCATTATTCATTCTTCATTAGCTGATATTCTAGTCTACCCAGGAAGTACAGCATTCAAAGGTCTTGAAGTTCAGTACATGCTATTATATTCCAACCTTATTTTTCTCAATATCCAGCTATAGATGAGCAGCGTTTTGAAAGTCAGGTGTTCAGCAATTAAGTCATGATTATTTTTTTTTGTGAATAGAGATCAAGAAAGTGCTCAATAACATGAGATTTTTGAAATGCAAAAAATTCAGGGTTTTTTTTATTTGTTTTTTGGCTTGTAAGCCTTTTCAATTCACTGAAAGCGTGCTTTGATTTTCTTCACAGAAACTGTTAAAATTAAAAATATACTTTTTTTTTTTTCTTCTTGTATCATAGTAACTTCATTCAGGCATCTAGAACTTTAAGAAACTTACCTCGTATCAGGTGACTCATGAAAACATCCTAAGCTTTCTTATGACTGAGTCCTGATCTTGTGCTGTAATGAGGCAGATTTTTGCTGCTTCAGCAGAATAAAAAGGCCCTAAACCTTCTCCACTTGGAACAGCACTCCTTGAGGTCCAATCCTACTTTATTGTTGACAGTAACGTGGTGTTATTGGGGTTTTCCAGACCCGTATGTCTCAGAGGAGAAAGATTAGTCTGCTGCCATCCATGCCTGAGAACAGAGGGAACACAGATCACTTGGCACGCTCCAATTCTGCCTGCTTGCTCTGAGGACTTCTCAGTTCTAGTGTGTTTTCTTAGAAAAATTGTTGACATTTACTTCATTTCAATATGTAATTATTAATTAGCATACTTTGATAATATTATGGGGTTTTAGATGTAAATATGAAAGTCAGGGCCCTGTTGAAAATACCCTGACAGATCATTGCATTTGCTTGAAAAAAAAAATGTTTTAACTCCGATGTGCTATTCAAATGTTCACGCAGCAACAAGAAGACATTCTTTGATAATTGGAAGATGCTTTTTGCTGCTTTCTTTTACTTGAAAGGTATTTGGTGCTATTATTGGTTGTGAAGTGTATCCCTGTCTGTATCCTACGGCTTCTGTATAAATGTGTGCTATTAATAACTATAAATAAATGTCAGCCAATAAAGACTTCGGGGTTTGGAGAAAGCAATCAAGAATGGCAAAAAATGATGGCATACAAATACTCGTAGATAAGACAGATCTACAGCTTTGCCATTTTTCCTCCTCTTCTCATCAGTTAAGCTGTTTATTATTGCCTCATTTGTATTATCTGCAGACCAGCTGTATTGAAAAATCCCTCAAAACAAAGGGAACAAAACCATTTCACAGCAGTAAGTTACATGTGTGTGCAGGCAAAGCAATACAAGAAAAGCTTACAAGAGTCTTCTCTTACCCAGTAGCTTCCCTGCTTTTGCACCATGTATAGCCTGTTCTCTCTAACCCTTCCCTCTGCATTTGTTTCAGTATGAATTATATGAGTACACAGGTTATCCAACAACCTTCTTTTCAAGTGCCAGTGCTATTAAAAGATCACCAGTTATGTAAGCTACAGACTACAAACATGAAGCTATAGTCATTTGTGATGTTCTTTTAGAGAAATCTGAGGGATTGTGAAAATGCTTGTATTGAGGACGTTTTTGAGAATGTGTATGTAATGTGAAATAGATATTGGTTATTGAAATTTCCCTTGTAGTTCTGATACGCCTTAAATTATCTGTTTTAGGTTTGCCACAACCAAACAGAGACAGTATATTCCAAGGACTGAGAATGGATCAAGGATTCTACACATCTAAAGACTTCCTACCTTTGGTAGCAATGGCAAGTAAACCAGGTGTGTGATATTATGTTTTTGTTGTAATCATGTTCAGTAAGTCATTAGCAGTTATTGATATATCAGGGTGGACAGCTGGTTACACAGCAGCACACCCAATTATGAAGCACCTCCTGATGAATAGGTCTGGGGCAGGGTTTTCTCTTGGTGAGTTGCAACCTCAGGAGTGTGGTCGGGAAAGTCAGTCCTAAAGCAAATAGTCACATGTAGAAATCTAAGCACATGGCAAATCATTATCCCTAAGAAGTTATATTTGTTATTTTGAATTATATTCAAAAGATGTCATAAGCTTCTCATTTGTAAAAATTATCTTGATATGGTATATATAAGATGATCTTGAAAAAAATCTGATATTAAAGAAGGTGTTGCTGACCCGTATAAGAAGCTGCTTTATATATTGTTGATAAATTACTTTACTTGATCCCAAGTCGTGTGCTGCATGTTTTACAGACACATTTAAAGGAGCACTAGTTCCCTACCCAGATAACTTATAGTCGAAGACTCAGAACAATGGTAGTATGCCAGCAGTTAATAAGACAACACTCAGCTCACAGGCACCAAATGCAGTCTTGTTTTATGCTTTTACATCTTTGATTTGAGTACAGAGATGGCTGCGTTTGCTCCCCAAGGAGCAGAGCTGCTTTCAGGGCCCCTGAATGTGCAGTCATAAGCGCCAGAGGGATGTATGAGATGGGGTTCGTGATTTCTACACCGTGTTCCCTCATGGTCTAGATTCCCCAACGTGTTGATAAAAAAATTCGCCGTACAGTTTTCTGGGTATATGCTTAGTGCTGTATGTGATCTTGTACATATGACCACATATTTAACCACACATATACCTGTCTTACCTACAACTGATTTTCTTCTGAGCATTCAGAAATTTCTTCTAGCATCATATAAGCCTGCTTATTTAGTAGACTTTTGATAAACAACGTGTTAAATAATATATCTTCTGCAGCAAATTATTCTGCATATAAAAGTAAAGTTTATTAGCTCATTTTATGCAAAATATTTAGGAAGGGAAATTCTGCATCCATCTGTCCCATCTCTCTGCTGTTTTGATCAAATGCTTACTTCTGTCTGTTTTCTTAAGCTCAAAATGAGCTCAAATGCGTTGGGAAAAAAGGGTGGGGTTGGTTTGTTGGGTTTTTTTTTTTTGAAGAAAGGGATGTTTAAAAATTAAACAGATTGAGAATCTGCACTGCAAAACGTTTGTAGATCAACAAAGGAAAAATAAATCCTGCAAAGCAATCCCCTCTTGTAATAATTTGACTCAAAACACTTCACAGAATTCTGTACAGACACATAGCACTCGTGTACTGTAAATCGCCTGCCTGCATGAGCTTATATTTACTGTGATCCGCATCTTTTAAAATGTTGCAAAGTAGCACTCTCGATTTGCCAGGATATTGAATGATATTTTTTTATATTAAGTCTACAATGAAAAAAAGGATGAACTTTGAAGAACTAACCTTTTCTGACTGACAGTAATAGATAGCTCTTTGGTGTTCTCTGTTAATTAAGATGGTCTCTTTTACTTAATTTTCCTCCTGTCTGTCTGTAGCTGTAGCCATCTCTTGCTCTCTAAAGCACAGAATTTTAAAATAAAATATACACATCCTCTATCCTGCTCTGTCTTCTTTTTTTACTGTGACAGTTCTCTAAATAATAGACATAATAGACTTGTTCACAGTAAAATACATATTCTGCCTGCTTATTAAGTTCTGAATACCACTCGTTAATACACTTTCATCCAAAAGGGGTTCCCCTTGCAAATACATCGATGTGAATTTACCTTGGGAGTCGCCTTTTTACCAAGAGCAAAGTGGGCTGCTGTGACTGATCTGTTCTAGACTAGTCCCATGATGGCACTCTGAGCTGCCGTTCCCTTGCTGCACTTGTGCTTTTTCCACTGCTCAATGTACAATTTTTGTGATGGATTAAGTTCGCTAAAAATAAATGAGAAAAGTTTAGAGAGAATTTTAGAATAAGAAGTCTATGAAGTAAATAGTAAATGCAGTGCCACGTACGTAGAGGGTGCAATGTTTTACCATACATTGTGTTTTACAAATGGAGAGACAATATGTGTATTAGGATGTTGTTTCAAACTCCTTTTATATGTCTAAATTAAAAGCATTGTTTCCTTGAATGATACTTGTGTTTATTTACAGTTGCATGTGAAATCTGCTGCTACTATAGTAGGATACTAGAGTTGCAGTGCAATGATTAAATGGCCAGTTTAGCACCTTCTGACTGAAATTACCACAGGCTCGTTGAGAATATAGCTTTATAGCATTTGTGGCATTATTTTTTAAGTTGCAGTAATTTCTCTAATAACAGTTAGTTGTATTTAAACTTGTGATAAAGCGCAGTCTCCTACAAGGAACACACACAGTTCAGTTTTACTTAAGTATTTCTTATATAATCAAATCATCAAATACAAACTGTAGATGATGAACACATAATGTCATTCTCTCCATGTAACTTTTTGCAAATCGTTTGTAGAAAGCCACTGTAGATTAAATGTTTTCTCCCAGCGCAAGATCTAGGAATCACTGAAATCATAATATTCTTTCTGCCTTATGTTCAGCTGCCATAAAGAATAGCCTCTGCAAACATGTCATAGCCAGAACATTGTCAGTGCCTTGTAGAAAACTGACTGAGGTTGACTACCTTTGAGAAACTGTTACTCAAAGCTGTCAACAACTGGTCGCCTTTTGAGAAATACCAAGTGTTATTCCTTCTAATCAGTTAAAAGGTGGTGGGTTTTTTTAAGTGGGAGGATAATGAATCCGATAAGAGAGAAACTTACTTTTTGAATACTAAGATCTCACAATGCTGATTTCAACCTGACAGGACCCACAATCCTACAAATGTGTTGTCACTTGAATTCTTTCCAGATAGAAAGGTGCAGCTGCTTAGAGTACTGACTATGAAATTATGTATATGAGCATACCTTAAAAATGGGAATAAAACTGTCTTTCTGTGAAGCAGAATAATTTGATAGTGACACTCCATGCTTGGAAACTGTAAGATGCAATTTTACACTGCTTTGGGTACAAGTACCTTTTGCGCTGTCATGCAGAAATGGTTTCTCTACTTGAAAATGGGGTTTTCCTTTCATCTTTCAGGGATGTGTGCCTGTCACTCTCCATTGCCATCAATACATGGAACTGTTATTGTACTTGGGGCAGGAGACACTGCTTTTGACTGCGCAACATCTGCTTTACGTTGTGGAGCTCGTCGTGTGTTTGTGGTCTTCAGGAAGGGATTCACTAATATCAGGGCTGTCCCAGAAGAGGTAAATTTGAATAACAGCATTTATGAGAAGGAATACAGATTGTTATTTCTACAGGGCCTGAAAGTGTGCTATAGGTACTTAAAAGACATATGTTAAAGGTTTTGTTTATAAAAATGCTCTTAAAATGTATAAATGTTTATTAAAGATCTGAGGCTCATTTTATATAGTCTCTGTATAAATAATTTTCCTCTGTTGTTCCTATTTCCTGTAAAGTCAGAGCATTTGTATACAGGGGGTTAGAATTTTTTGTAAATTCTTGTAAATTTCTTGTAAATTAGAAAATACAGTAGAAGTTTTAGTCTTGGAAGCCCCCCAGAGATCAAACAGCCATTTGAGTATTGTAGGTGACTCTTCAGGTCACAGTTAGATCCTAGTATGATACCTTCTGGCTGCTGTCTAATGAATCTCAGTGATCCTGATGTTGCCTTGGGAGCCTATAAAATCTTGTAAGAAAATTACTTACAGTGATTTTGGTTTTGAATCGCTGCCAATGGCAATAGAGCAATGTCATTCATCACAGATTTCAGCATTCAATTTGGGTTTTAGTTTGGCTTTGTACTTTGGCGTTTGTCAGGACATCTGCACGTTTTGAAACTGACTCTGCTTCCTCAATGTATCTGTACTAAAGGAGGTTTTTTCTCAGGTTAGATTTTCTTATTTTGGTGGTCTTTTTCTGTTATCATTTATTTGGTATATACTTTACTCTTTTGTATACTTGAGGATATCAGGACATCTAATGCATCTTTATCATGAGATTTATGGTAGTTTGGTAATCTGTTTCAAGAAGGTGGGAGTCTTAGAGATCTTATAGAAGGGGAATGGAGGTGCAAAAAAGTAATAGAGGCTCTCTTGATGCATAACTTCCTTCTGTTTCTGTTGCACTTCATTTAAGAATTCTAAACACAATGAGATTACTGAAACCATTGCACAGACTGACACGTGTGGTATTCAGATTCTTAGTAATCAAGAATCAGCTGTCGCTCTGAACCAAAACCTTTGTTAGCAGCCTGGGTAAATTCCTAAAAGTTGTCAATGTTAATACTCCATCCAATCATGCAATGGCCTTGAAAACGGTTAAATAGTTGGTATTAAGATGACTGTATACTGTACACAGGTGACTTCAACTACCGAATGCGTGGTAGCATCTTGAGTCAAAAAATGTTTTGTGTTTTTTTTCCATAAAAACACAACAATGTTCAAATTCTATATTTTCTTGCTTCTACTCTACAGATGGAACTTGCAAAAGAAGAGAAGTGTGAATTTCTGCCTTTCCTCTCCCCTCGGAAAGTTGTACTTAGAGGTGGACAAATTGTTGCTATGGAGTTTGTTCGAACTGAACAAGCCAGTGATGGAAACTGGAAAGAAGATGAGGATCAGGTTGTCCGTCTGAAAGCTGACGTGGTTATCAGTGCCTTTGGCTCCATTTTAAGTGACACTAAAGGTAACCCTGACTAATGAATTCTGTAAATGCTGATTATTATTTTAGCTGCAGCAATTTCCTGTCCTTTGACAGTTTTCTGAAATGAGTCTTCTGGAGGTTACAAAGCTTGTGGCTGCTGGTCCTTTTCACAAGAATTTCTTTGTCCTTTAGATATAGCTCTTAGAACAAAACTTGAGGGTCTGATAACAAAACAGTTTTCTGTATATTGCTGTGTAGAGCACAAATTCAGATTAGAGGTACAGTTGCTCAGTATATATCTTGCTTTCCTCTCAATGCAAATGGGATCTCAAAAGAATACTCTTGGGGATTCCTTCTGGTATCACTAATTATCTTTAGAGAAACTCATTATACTACAACTTTAAACTGAACTGATCTGATCTCTGAAACCTGTTTCTTTTTACCTATTAAATTAAGCAAGAATTAAGACAGATTCTTTACTCTGGTTCAGCTGGTCTGGCTGTCACTCATTTCTTGTGCGTACACAAGAGAACTGTGACTTCTCTCATATATACAGTATTTGTTAAATTCATCTGTGCTTGTCTCAGCTTGTCTCATTATTTAGTTGCACTTTACAAGCTTTGGTCTTGAAAATTAACAGTTACATAGTTTGATAGTAAAGATACAGAAATTGGCACACAGATGGCATTGAGATTGAAAGAACTGTCTGGACGTAGCAGAAAGAGAGCCGAAGAACATGAGTACGACTAAGAACATGGGAACTGAGCACAGCTCAGACTGTTCTTCTCTGACACTAGGTTAGATTTAAAGAGTTCAGGCACATACATCCAAAGTACCTCAAAAGTAAAAAACACGGACTCAGCAGAAGACAGATTGATAAAATGAATAGATCTTCAGCCTGGAGATGCTCGTCAAGATTAGCAGGTTCTGAAACCCTTAGTGATCAATGTGCCTACCTCTCCAGGGCAAGGTTCATGCCAGCCAATTACCCCATGACATGTTGTTGTGGTCCTTTGGGTATAAATGCTCTGACAGAGGATTTGGCAAGTGCCTCAGAGTACACGTCACCAGAAAATCTGGTAATCAGATGCTGGTCCTGCCAGTGCAAAGGGAATTTCAAAATTTCTGAGCATAATATGGTTTTGTGAATCCTTTCAATCAAGGAGAATTGTAAATCTAAAATAATCTAAGCAGAACCTTGTAGCATTTCTGGACATACCTCAGGCACCTATAAAATGTGTGACTTCTCACATCCGCATTTTCTGTGTATGCATTATAGATGACACTGTTTTAAATGAAGTTAAATAAATGAGTTTTCTGATAGTAAGCTTTTCTAGAGTTATTGGTAAAATCATACAAAAAGTGTACTGACTTCACAGGAAGACAAAACATTAGTTAATGAAGATAAATTATAGGTCCCATTGAAGAATTTTAGAATATAGCCAATAGCATATTTGTCTGTAATCGGAATGAGCTACTCAGTGCTTCACCAGTCCAATTGTATGTGAAGTTAAACCATCATACAGCCATGAGAAGAGTCTAAACTCTCCTACAGTAAAAAAGAAGGATCAGCCTGGTTCCTTGAGGAACCTCTGAAGTTTATTCCAGGAGCATTCCTATCTTGTGTGTTGCTTTGGGATAGGTTCATGCAGCTTAGGCTGTTATCTAGACAGCGATGGCACCCAGCTACGTGCAGTGCTAATTACTCAGGGCTGTCTCCTGCTCTACAGGGCACAGGAGGTGCAGTCTACGTCTCCTTGAGAGAACAGACTCCCATTCCACTTGGAGCTGTATTGCTGTATAAAGAGTCTGGCATCTGTGTTGGTCATGTTTTAGGGCTCAGTCTAATCCATAGGAAGAAGGGAGAAACATTTTTTTTGATCTTTAAGAGATTCATGAGCTACTTCGTTGGTGGACTTGACTTGAATGAGGATTTTGAAAAGTTTTGTTGTTGTTTTTAAAGCCTTCTGTTTAGGTTTTTTTTGAAGGTTTTCTAGAACCTCATGTGGTAAATCGAATATTAGCCTATGCAATCAGTATGTTCTGTTGTGATTCATAGACCCTATGATACAAGAGTGAGTCTGTTTTCTCCCACATTAAAAACTGCATCAGCTAAAAGGTTGAACTTACTGTGTTGCTCAACCGCAACACTGTGCCAGTCTTGTATCTCCTAGCATGCATTCACTGTCTAAATTAGTGGTTGTGAGGTTTTTAAATAAGAACATAAAATGGGAGGGGTACAAAGCCATGCAGTGAGATGATCATGAAAGAAGAGAGTCATTTACCTTGGGGGTAAGCAATACACTTCAGTTTCACACTGTATTTTTGGTGAAACTGCTATTAGAAGAGCAATCAAATTACAAGCAAAAATGCAAGGCATTTGTTTTGGATGTTGTGAAAGTGAAAAGAGACTAAGACTTGAGGGAATAAAGTGTTTATTTTGAGCATACCATTTCAGTTGCTTTTAAATCTTTAGTTTTTGTCTAAGCTATCTTAATGAAAGTCAAATTTGCTTTTCACCATTGAGCTGGATTACAACGAAATCTCCAGGCTGCTTCAGCATACATAACAAAAAGAAATGGAAAAAAAAAGCAACAAACCACCAAAAGCATCTTATATTCTTAGTGTGTTTTTGTTTGTTTGTTTTTTTTTAACAAAGCGCATTTTTGTATTCAAGAGATGGAGGTATTCAGGTATTCTCTATCAAAACATGGAGGTGCAAATACTGGAGGTACTGAAAACTGGACCATGCCGTGAGCAAACTGATCTGACTTAGAACTTGATCTAACTTTGGAAGGGGATGGGCTAGGTGACCCCCCCGAGGGCCCTGCTAGTCTGAATTATTCTATGACTGCATCACTCAGAACTGAGTTGTATGAGCAACAATTAACACGTTTATTCAACCTGCATCTATCAATTCATTTAATTTGTAGGGCACCTCAGGGAACTGCAAATGCGGTATTGGTATGGTCTCAGCTAGCAGGATATACCCAGTTTGTTATTAATGTTGTTAAACGCTGATGCTACTGATGTAAGAATAAAGAAAATAGTATGAAAACCAGAGGGATTAAAATCAGACTTAGCCCCAGTTCTGCAAAGCGTTCAGGGCATAAGCACATGGGTGGCTGCTGTCTCGAACAGAAATGGCTCATAGGTTAGAAAGCTTTATCTAGTCTATTATCTTCAACAAGGTGTTTCTTATTCTTGCACAGTAACTATTAAATTTGCAACTGAGATTCCATGGGCTCACAGTAGGTATTTAGTCTTTTTTGTTTTGTTAAAATAAAATGCTTATTGTGTTTTAAAGCAACAGTTCTAGTAGGTATTCACCCTCCCATTGGGAATCATATAAATGCATCATTAATTTTAAAAAATGGACTCCCAAGTCCATTTTATGCTCGGGAAGCTGCTAATAGACAAAACAGGAGAGTTGCCTTCTAAACTATTTTAAGAACATTACCACTTTACTGAAACCAGTGGAAAAAAAAAAAAAAAACCAACAAATTGTTCAAATCAAACTACTGCGGATGGAGTAAGAAAAATGTTTTGCTGCTTACTGAAAAAAACCAAACCATTATGCAAGCACAAGCTGCTTTTTTTTTATTGCATCGCTTACCAAGGCCTTCAGACCATCATAACTGACCCACATAAACAAAGAGCTGTGAGAGAATTTTGTACCTTTTCTCGTGTTCTTGCTCTTTTGCTTGGTTTGTTATTTTGGAGGTCTATGATGCGTTAGTGAATTGCTGAAATATCCTCTGTCACCATTCCAAATTGCCCCTACTCAATATATACAAATGTATTTCTGTGTACTCCCTAGCACTGCGTACAGCCTCAACATCCTTTTTAACACCAGTCCAGTTGTTTCTGAAGTCTAAACTTTGAGTAACCATTTTCTGGTCTATTTTTGGACTGCAAAACTTTGCACAGGAACAGATGTCCCTGTTCTGATTTATTTTCCTGAATTTCTGAGGAAACCTGGACTTTCTGAGGGAGAACCATGGAGAAAGTATGGAAAATAGTACATTTGTTCAACACTCACTGCAAAATGCAGTGCAGCTCAGGGGACTAAGACAGGATAGGCAACTGGCAACGTTAAGTTTAGTTCAACACTCTGTTTAGCAGGCAGTAGTGAACAGGAAATATTCCCATTTTCCAGAACACTGAATCTTAGCATGATAATGGTTATTTTAGTTTCCTGGAGAGACAAAAGAAGGGAATGCAGAAATATCCAAGCAAACTCCAAATACCACCTCTGCAACCCCACCCACCCCCTACCCCAAAATAGTAGGCTATTTGTGAGCAAAAATATGCTTTCTTAAATTTTGGTAGTAGGTAGTTGCATGGTAACTGAAGCGCAAACTTTTATTTTGCATTTCTGGAAATCAGTTACAACTCTCAGCTATTTTGCTTTTACTTTCAGTACGACTGTCGTCTTGCTTGGAAACTGCGACAGCAAACCCCAGAAGCCTTACCAGAGTATAACTACTGCCCCCCCAACATAGTGCGACATACAGCAAAGATAAATTAGCCCAAACAGTTTACAATTTTGTTATTTAATCCACTCCTACTTAATATTTATTTCTGTACGTTGAGAAGTGTTTGTTAGGGAAAAAGGGAAAAAGCTTGCAGAGCTCTGACCTTGTAAATGAAAAAGATTTTAGATTTCCTTTGTGCAAATACAGAACTTCAAATGGTACAGATGCCAGCAAACCTGCAGGGAACGTTGAGTTTCTTCATCCAGCCTGCTCGGACAACTAGGTAGCTTGAGCCTCAAAGCACTGAAGCCTTGACTGTCTAACGAAAGACTAGGAGAGAGGAAGAGAGGTGGCTGTGATGCCCGAGCTGGGAATGCCCACGGGGGTGACCTGGTGTCTCCCTAGCAGCACAGCATCTGCCTCGCACCCACAGAATAGACCTTTAGTCCCCAGGCTTTTTAGAAAATTATTATATAAAACTGAAATTTATGTAGATTTAAAGGATTCCTAGCGAAATAGGTAGGAGTTTTACTGCTGAGTCATTTGGAATAGGATTTTTCTCCACAAATAGGTTTACTGAATGAGTTTGAGTACAGCAGTTCCACACCCTGAAATGATTACCAGTTTCCAATCTCCAAAAGTGGCTTCATGATGACTTTTAAAGCCCTTTTAACTCAGAGCAGGGATTCTGCTCTTTCACCCAAAAGGCATCAGTACACATTTGCTTGCTGGTGACAGGCAGAAAATGAAGTCACTACCAGCTTGCAGCAGGAGCCCCCCCCCCCCCCCCCACTACACAACCGCCACCCGGTTC